CCGATCCGACCATGGTCCGAGCATGATCCGAGAATGATCCGACCACGATCCGACCACACACGAGACCGTCTCGCAACCGTCGCACCGCAGTAGATCATCGAGGTTCGGGGACGGACTTTGTATGGAAAAACATAGGCTTTCGTGCATCTGCTATCTCTCACAAACGCATTTCGTGCGAGACTTCCTTCAAAACTCCATCGGCAACTCCTCCACCAGCACCACTTGCAATGCCATTTGCATTGCGGGAACGATCCTACAGTTGCAAATCACAATGGAATCCCATCTGCAACTCATCCACCAGCACCACTTGCAACCCCATTTACAATGCGGGAACGATCCTACAGTTGCAAATCACAATGGAATTCTGTCGACCGCACATGCACGAAAAACAGTTGAAACCCCATTTACAATGCGGAACCGATCCGAGCATGATCCTACCATGATCCGAGACCGATCCGACCATGATCCGACCACACACGAGACCGTCTCGCACCCGTCGCACCGCAGAGGTAGATCATCGAGGTTCGGGGACGGACTTTATATGCAAAAAACATAGGCTTTCGTGCATCTGCTATCTCTCAAAAACGCATTTCGTGCGAGACTTCCTCCAAAACTCCATCGGCAACTCCTCCACCAGCACCACTTGCAATCCCATTTACAGTGAGGGAACAGTTTCTTTGCTAACTCTTTCCCTCACTAACTCTTTCTTTGACTAACTCTTTCCCTGACTAACTGTTTCTTTGCTAACTCTTTCCCTCACTAACTCTTTCCCTGACTAACTCTTTCTTTGCTAACTCTTTCTTTGACTAACTCTTTCCCTCACTAACTCTTTCTTTGACTAACTATTTCCCTGACTAACTGTTTCTTTGCTAACTCTTTCCCTCACTAACTCTTTCCCTGACTAACTCTTTCTTTGCTAACTCTTTCCCTCACTAACTCTTTCCCTCACTAACTCTTTCTTTGACTAACTCTTTCCCTCACTAACTCTTTCTTTGACTAACTTTTTCTTTGACGAACTCTTTCTTTGACTAACTCTTTCCCTCACTAACTCTTTCTTTGACTAACTCTTTCCCTGACATTCTAAAAGTCCGTAACACGGAAGTTTCTCCCCCTAAACTTCCTTTGATTAATCTATCTTAATCTATCTTAATCTATCTTAATCTATCTATCTATATCTATCTACCTTAATCTATCTACCTTAATCTATCTATCTTAATCTATCTATCTTAATCTATCTATCTTAATCTATCTTAATCTTAATCTTAATCTTAATCTGTCTAATCTAATCTAATCTAATCTAATCTAATCTAATCTATCTATCTATCGATCTATCTATAGTAGGCGCAGATGACACCGGACTTTGCGGCCGATGTAGCCAAGGTTTTTTGGCACATGACATGGGATTTATGTATCGATTTTTCTATGTTTTTCTTTAAAAAGCATGACGTGGGAGTTATGCGCTGACCTAACGGGCAGGTATTTTCCATTTTTTTGACAGATGACATGGGAATAAGTGATCAATTTCACACATGACATGGGACTGCCAGGAAAACACAGACGTCCGAGATGAAAAGTGGCAGGTAATGAGAACAGGAGATGGGACGTCCAAGATGGGAAGTGGCAGGTAATGAGATGGATGAGATGGGAAGACGAATTTACCACATGACATGGGACTTCCAAGATGAAAAGTGAAATACGTGCTAGGTAGCTGCTAAATAGTTGCTGAATAGTTACTGAATACATGCTAAATGGCTGCTAAATAGCTTCTAAATAGTTGCTGAATAACTACTAAATAGGTGCTAAATAGCTGCTCAAGCTACTAAATAGCTGCTATATAGTACCTGCTAAATAGCTGCTAAATAGTTGCAAAATAGCTTCTAAATAGTTGCTGTATAACTGATAAATTGCTTCTAAATAGCTGCGAAATAGCTGCTAAATAGCTTCTGAATAGCGGGTAAATATCTGCTGAATGAATGCTAAAGAGCTGCTAAATAGCTTCTGACTAGCTGCTGAATAGTTGCTAAATGGAGCAAGGAGGTGAATGGATTCATGTGACTTTGGAATATTCTAACTGCTGACGTATAATTTTGGATTGAGCTAACTGCTAGCAGGTAGTCATACACTCATATACTATCTTTGTTCATGTGGGATGTGACATGTACAATGTGTGAGTTAGTTGACATGACATGTTTTGCATCTCTTTGGGGCCCAAACAATTGCAGAGGTCCCATGTCATGTGTTTTGTTCCGAGGCACTTTACAGATGGCATGGGACTTATGCATTTTTCTTCTTTTTTCACTTTGCAGATGACATGGGACTTTGCGTTTTTTGGGTATGTCCGACAACTCCCATGTCACCTGCAGGTAGTATATATATCTATCTATCTATCTATCTATCCATCTATCTATCTATCTATCTATCTATCTCTCTAGCTCTCTCTCTCTCTATCTATCTACCTATCTACCTATCTACCTATCTACCTATCTACCTATCTACCTATCTACCTATCTATCTATCTATCTATCTTTTCTGAGAAATCAATCAACCAATCAACCAATCAATCTATCGATCTATCTATCTATCTGTCTATCTATCTACCTATCTACCTATCTACCTATCTACCTATCTACCTATCTACCTATCTATCTATCTATCTACCTATCTATCTAATCTAATCTAACCTAACCTAATCTATCTATCTATCTATCCATCCATGTATCTAATCTATCTAATCTATCTACCTATCTATCTACCTATCTACCTATCTACCTATCTACCTATCTACCTATCTACCTATCTACCTATCTACCTATCTATCTATCTATCTAAGTATCTAAGCCATCTGTCTCTCCATCTATCTTATCTGAAACGCAGCAGTTGTGCGAGACTTCCTTCAAAAGTAGCAGTTGGCAGGTGCAAAGCGAAGCAATACTGCGAGACGTCCTTCAGAAGTGATAGCTGACAGGCCAAAAACGAAGCAATTCTGCGAGACGTCCTCACAAAATGGAAGGTCACTGCTCCAAAACGACGAAATTCTACGAGACTTTTCAATTTTCGAAGTTGACAACATCAAAAACGAAGCAATTCTGCAAGACCTCGTTCGAAAATGGAAAGTTGAGCGCAGAGCTGACAGCCTCGTGCCAATGCCTTTCTCGAATTTGCCACTCCATCTATCTAAAGTATTGCGCCTGCCACGAAAAACTGATGCCAGATCATACGAAGTGCTGCAACTATCACGCAAAAGCATGTAAGAGCACCTCAAGATCTGATTCTCCTCCTAACATCTCTGATGAACATTCAAACGTCCCACGTCCGCCATCGTTTTTGAAACTGCTACAAAACCATCGTTTTGCTCGCTTTTGGCAAGGTGCACAGTCCCTTGCGCCTGCCACGCAAAACCACATCCTAGCTTCAAAAAAAGTGGTCGTCCAAGACCCTCAGTTTTTAAAACTTTGAGTTGCGAATGTGCTTCGTGCCACAACGGCGTGCACTTTTTTGAAATCTCAACTTCCGAAAGTGGTGCGAACGAGTGGTGTTTTCATCATTTTCACTTCGAAATTTGCTTCGCGCCACAACACCGTGCACTTTTTCAACATCTCAACTTCCAAAAATGCTCCGAAGCTGAAGCTTTTTGTACATGTTGACTTCAAAATGTGCTTCGCGCCACACTGCTGTGCACTTTTTCAACATCTCAACCTCCAAAAATGCTCTGGGGGACCTGAAATGTTTTTTGCATTTTTACTTGGAAATGTGCTTCGCGTCACAACGCGTGCACTTTTTGAACATCTTAATCTTAACGTCCAAAAATGGTCCGAACATATGGTGTTTTTACCTTTTTGACTTCCAAAGGTGCTTCGCACCACAGCCGCGTGCACTTTTTCGAGGGCTCAACTTCCACAAGTGCTCCGAGCATGAGGTGCTTTGACCATTTTGATTTCACAATTTGCTTCTCACCACTTTAGCAAGCCTACTTTTCGACCCTCCAAGGCCCCAAAACATATCTTTTCGCACGCCTGCATCTACTTTCTTTTCTGACTCTTTCTTTTCTCTGACCTTCTTTCTTCTTCCTTTCTCTTCTCTGATCTTCCTTATTCTTTCTTTCTCTTCTCTGACTCTTCCCACCTCTGCTTTTCCATCTGTCCATATTGTCGGAATTTTGACTTCCAAGCTTCCTTCGGCCAACTTTGTTTGTAAAGCTTGTATGGTACAGATTGTTACAGTAGTTCTCTTTAATTTAGTGAACATTTCATGGACCCAAGCCATTTGAAGTGAACTTCCAGCATTGCCACAGCTTCTGCTGTGCGGTAACTCCAACGCCTGTCAAGGCTTCCATCTTCATCTCTTCCTCCAAGGCACTGAACCTAAAGGGGCTCTGGCTGATGCATGATGGTGTAGCAGCAGGTCCAAATTGATCAAGGTCGATTCCACATCTGCAACTCCTAAGGTCTTACCTCAAGAATCAAAGCTTGAGACACTACAAACTTCGCATAGCTTGGCAGGCGGCTCAGCTTCAAAAGAAGCCTCATCAAAGCCATCTGGAACAGCGTAGGATGCGGAGATGGCCTGAGTGGGCCCCGTACAAATTTCCCGAGGGGCAGGGAAGCAAATGTGTGCTGGGACCTTCCAAGCGCCTCTTGCTGCAAGTTTATAAACAGTTTGATGATGATGATGATGGTGATGATGATGATGATGATGACGACGGCAACGCAGCCAAGCACTTGGGGATAATGTGCATGGACGCAACTAAACAAACTATACTCAGATTTGAACGGTTCTGATTAAAAGGTGGCTTTAATCACATTTTAAGCATTTTGTTTGACATGTGTAAAGTGCGCATGCTTGCATGATATTCATGATAATCAATGCCACCTGCCTCGTTAATGTCTGCAATGTCATCGTTCAGATCTGCCATGTCATCCATCAATCGCTCCTTGGAGGCTCGGACAAATAAAGAATTTTCCCAATCATATGGATTCCTGGATCGATTGTATCAATTTGTATTATGCATCTTTACACATATTGAAGAACTCGACTTCATATGACGGCCGTCGTGGTCCTACATAACCTGACATGACACGACCTTGGCAATGCGGGGAGACAACTGCCCACGTTCTGTTTTGCCCATGAAGTAAGGACCAGGCAATGTCCATCACGCCTCCAATTTGTGTATATCTTTCCTTCCTGGCAGGTTGTATGCACCGTGAAATCCCACATGCTTCATGCTGCCATATCTCCTCCTGACCTTTGCTTGCATCGTCTACTTTGCACACCTTTCCATACAAGTGTGAACAATTGTAAACATGCATATTTAAACATGGCAGGCAAACAACTCTTGATATCCACCTTTCATCGCCTCAACGGTCATCACGTTGATCTCTGCCTGATCACACCGTTTCTGTGTGTTATGTCGGGCCATTTTGGTCCACCTGCAAGTTGTGACTCTGTAGATTCATCATGATTCATCCAACTGCCTAAAAGGCTAAGTAAATCTAAGGCAGACTTGAAGTTCCTTCTACAAACTTTGAAATAAAACTGTTCTGGAAGATGTGCCTGTTCTTGCGCTCCGGCCAGTGAATCCACGTTAAACTGTGTGCCAAGGATTTGGTCACGTTGCTGCTCATACATTTTCTTCCTGGCCGATTGCCAAATGAACAGACACAGCTGCAAACTGTCAGTTTTCCACTCCCAATGAATGTGATTTGTCTTACTTAAACATATATATACATTTACATGCACACCATATACTTAAAATACTTGCGCCGCTACCAGCTCTGGTCATAGTGTGGGGGACCATAGAGCGCATAAAGGTAGTTCATCTCTTTGAGTTTCGGCCTCCGTCCGTCCCTGTCCTTTTCAAACACTGCAATGCAAGCTGCTTCTGCTGACCCGACTTGCTCGCGCCGGCATAGCGCCGAAGGTCCTCAAGCAGAGATGGTCAAGGATGGTCACAATGGCTCCTACATGGTTAGGAATATGAAGATCAGAGAAGATCAATCTCGAAAATCTGAAACTATTCCTTGGACTCAGGTCGTTGAAGTCTGTGTTTTCCTCATCACATTTTGCAATCTTCTTGTCGAGCTCGGTAACCTAAGTCACACTAGTGCTGTAGCAGAGTTGTTTTCCATTGTTTTCCCTTGCCTCTGAAAACCTCAACCCCTCTCCACCTTTGGCACCCTTACGCGGGTGTCAATGCGCGTCGAGGTGTCTTGAAGGCTTGGTGCTGGACCCGTGACAGGTGCCTGCAGCATCTGGGCCAGATGCGTGTTCGGGGTCACTACAATCTGGACCAATGGCCATCAAATTGTTACACGATGTTACAGAATGTTATACAATATCTATTGGGTCCAGCAAGCGAGAACCCCCCAAGGCAGCAATCGTTTCTCGCCATGTTTTTTGAGCAAAAGACAGACAAGATTAAAAAAAATCGACCCCAAATGCAAGAGGCGTACGCAAGATGTTAAGGCAATGCAACATATTTATGATGATGGTGATGATGGTGGTGGCGATGGTGATGGTGATGGTGATGATGGTGATGATGATGAGGAGGAAGAGGAGGAAGAGGAAGATACTGATGATCATTTGGTGATTTTAGAGTTGATGGTTGATATACTGAACATGACGTCCTGAAGATGAAATACTGAAGAGGACGACCCTAGACCTGCAGGAAACCAATGGCCCAGGGGGACCAGGGGGATTGAACCCGGGCCTGTCAGGGGAGGGGGTCAGGGTCTAACTGGAAAGTTTCAGGGTTTCCAACGGTCCTGGTGCCTGCCTATTCCTTGCTAAAGCAAGAGCAACTTCAGCTAACAGAAGCTAGCTTTCGTAGTAACTTAACATGTCATCATATACTCTCATAATCAAAGGAAGTTTCATAGAGGAAACTCCAAGTCACGGGTGGTTTTGCAAAATCGTTAGCACAAAGATCATTGTGTCCAGCTGACATGTTCCTGAAGTAGAGAAGTAGTTCAAAAGATCATGAAGTCCAGTTGGCATGTTCCTGAAGTAGAGAAGTAATTCAAAAGATCATGAAGTCCAGTTGGCATGTTCCTGAAGTAGAGAAGCAGCTCAAAGATCATGAAGTCCAGTTAGCATGTTCCTGAAGCAGCGAAGAAGTTCAAAAGATCATGAAGTCCAGTTGGCATGTTCCTGAAGTAGAGAAGTAGCTCAAAGATCATTAAGTCCAGTTGGCATGTTCCTGAAGTAGAGAAGTAGCTCAAAGATCATCAAGTCCAGTTAGCATGCACCTGAAGCAGCGAAGAAGTTCAAAAGATCATGAAGTCCAGTTGGCATGTTCCTGAAGTAGAGAAGTAGCTCAAAGATCATTAAGTCCAGTTGGCATGTTCCTGAAGTAGAGAAGTAGCTCAAAGATCATGAAGTCCAGTTAGCATGCGCCTGAAGGAGCGAAGTAGGTCAAAAGATCATTAGAGCAGAGTAGAGGTAGAGTAGGAATAGAGTACGAGTAGGAGTAGGAGTGGGAGTGGGAGTGAGAGTAGAGCAGAGTGGAATATAGCAGAGTAGGGTAGGGTAGCGTAGCGTACAGTAGTGTGGAATATAGCAGAGTAGAGTGGGGTAGCGTAGTGTACAGTAGAGCAGAGCAGAAGAGAGTACAGTAGAGGAGCATAGAGCAAATTAGAGGTAGAGGTAGAGGTAGAGTAGACTGGAGTAGGAGTAGAGAAGTACGTAGAGTTAAGGTAGGGTCGAGGTAGAGTAGAAGTAGAAGTAGAGGTAGAGTAGAGGTATTGTGGTGCGGTTCGATTGCGCTTTGCAACTCACTTCACTGTTGGCAGATCGCATTGGAACTGCTACATCAAACTTGAAATTTGAACGTTAAGATTTGCACGAAACATTGCTTTTTTGTTTCGGGGTAAACGGACGTTCCGTTGGGGAGAAAGGTTGGCTAGCTGGCGCGACGGTTGCGGCCATCGTCGTGTTAGCGCGGAGTCCTTCGCAAACTGCGAACGCACTGTAACTGAGGTCTCCAGGTGATTTGTTGTCACTCGTTGTTCACGCTGTGCTGTTGTGTTTTGCAGCTCAGTCTCTGCAGATCGCAGTGGAATGGCTGCGTGCGTACTACTATAGTCCTTTGTAGCTGAGCGGCATGAAATGTATTGGAGTGGTCAAGGTTGTGACGGTGATTTGGCGGCAATTTTTTCTCAATTTTGGCGCTGCTTTTATTTTGAATTACTTTACTTCGTGTGATCCCCACCATGACATTTGTACATTTTCTTACTGGCAAATCTTCTGGCATTCTATCTGGCATTCTATCTGGCATATCTTCTGGCATATCTTCTGGCATCCTAGCTGGCATATGTTCTGGCATATCTTCTGGCATTCTATCTGGCATATCTTCTGGCAAATCCTCTGCGATTCTATCTGGCATATCTTGTGGCATGTATTCTGACATATCTTCTGGCATTCTATCTGGCATTCTATCTGGCATATCTTCTGGCATTCTATCTGGCATATGTTCTGGCATATCTTCTGGGATTCTATCTGGCATATCTTGTGGCATATATTCTGACATATCTTCTGGCATTCTATCTGGCATTCTATCTGGCATATCTTCTGGCATTCTATCTGGCATATCTTCTGGCATTCTATCTGGCAAATCTTCTGGGATTCTATCTGGCATACCTTGTGGCATTCTATCTGACATTTTATCTGGCATTCTATCTGCACACCTTCTGGCATTCTATCTGGCATATCTTCTGGCATTCTATCTGGCATATATTCTGGCATTCTATCTGGCATATCTCATGGCATTTTATCTGGCATATCTTCTGGCATTCTATCTGACATTCTATCTGGCATATCTTCTGGCATATGTTCTGGATTCTGGCATATCTTCTGGCATTCTATCTGGCATATCTTCTGTCATTCTATCTGGCCGTTGAGGTCCAGCGGTGCACACTGAGCTGAGCAGGTCCCCGGTTGAGGTCCAGCGGTGCACACTGAGCTGGGCAGCTCCCAGGTTGAGGTCAGTGTACTTCAAACATGCGCACAAGCGCGCATATTGCGGCTTGTCCAGTGCAAACCGGATTTACTCATGAGGGAGGGTAGGAAGGGCAGTGCCATACCTATGTGTGAAGGACTGTGAAGGCAGAAGCATCAAGACGCCAGCAGAAGGATTGCAGACTCAGGATGTAGCAGTACGTGTTAAACCTGTGCACAGTTGCGCATACAGCTCGGCACAAGATGTACCAGTATGCTCTAAGCTTGGGCGCAGTTCTGCGCAAAGCAGATCTACTCACCAAATCAGGCAAAGATTAACATCTTTGATACAAACACGGTTTTCTCAAGGTTTCGCGAAAACCTAGCAATTCGCAACAAGGACACAGGGGTTTGTGAAGACCTACTATTTTGTTGCCCTTTCTAATTTGCTGCTTTCCTTGCTTCCTACCCTCCTTCCTGCTTCCGTCCTTCCTTCCTTCCTCCCTCCCTTCCTTCCTTCCTTCCTTCTTTGCTTCCCTCTCCCAGAATAGTTTTTGTTTGATCCCGATAATAATTTTTTGGATCCTAAAAATAATTGTCTTTTGCACCTAATAGTAATTTTTTGATGCGTATCCCTGGGTCCCGTGGTCGCCGGGGCTGTTTGTGTGGCAGGCGTGGCAGTTGGCGACATCGACCTTCACTTTGTGGCAGGCTTGGTACTTGGTGACATCGATCTTCACTTTGTGTGGCAGGTGTGGCACTGGGCCGGCTTACTCACACACAACTTACTCACACAACTCCCTCTCACAAACACACACTTGCTCAGAACAGTCTTTGCGAATTCTGATGTGGAATGCAGCGGACGTGCAAAAACACCAACAATAAACTGACACAAAGAATGCGACCTAATACAATAATATATAGACGTATAATCACAGTAGACATTGACCGTGTAAAACAACAGCGATAAGATATATGTCGCTCCCAGCTGCAACTTATTTGCTCCCAGGGGCGGGACTCTATATATATATATACAATATATATATATATATATATATAAATAATGCAGGTACAGGTTCATGCGTCCATGAGCCCATCCAACACATCTTCCGTAGCTTCGTTGGGCAACATAGGAAGATGGGCTGTTGCCCCCCTGCAGAAATATGAAGTTTTACATCTACACACACACACACCCACGCACACACACGCCCCGCAGCAGCGGGGCGGATGAAATGACAATGAAAGTGAAATGAAAATGACAATGAAATGACAATTACTTAGCCAGAACGCGAAGAGGGGAACTCAAAAGACGAGGGACAGAGAGAACACCAACACGACACACCTGGCCCGGAGCGGGCAAACCCTGAAAAGGCAAGGGAAAAGAAAAGCGGAGACCGACGGACACGGGACAAGACCAGCGGAGGGGGGGAAGACGAAAGCGCCTGAACCAACCTAACACAGCGAAAACCTACGCCTACCTCGGCACGCGAAGGACCCAACCTACCTGAAGAGGGGAGAGCACAAGAACACATGAAATAGGGGACCCATGGGGAACTAGTTAGTGAAAAGATGCAACCACATGACATGCAACTGTCGTGATAAGGCTCAAAGGCCCTCGGTATTCAAGTCAACCCCATGGACAGCTTACGTCGTCAACCCTTGAATTACGTGCACAATTGAACCTCACCAGAGGAACCAAAAGAAAGTGACCACACCTGTAGAGCATGTCCTATTGCCTGGCCATATCATGACATGTGACAAATGAAAGCAGTCTGTCTCTCGAGCATTACTGAAGAAAGGAGATTGTTGTCGCAGCTTCAGTCTACAAACCCTTTGAAGTCTGACAAAAATGATGAGGCCAGTCACAGCGGCAAACTGTTTAACCAAAAGACGACCGACAGAGTGAAACCTGAAAGGTGAACGGCTGTTTCACTTTACTTAAACGAATTACTAAATTAAAAGGTGCAGATTCAGACATCGGGTCGTTGCATCCACATTCTGCTTAGAAAAGCATTCCCTGAAGGGTTCATGCCACCTTGACGAATCCAGAATGAATCACACACTTGCTCAGAACAGTCTTTGCGAATTCTGATGTGGAATGCAACGCACGTGCAAAAACACCAACAATAAACTGACACGAAGAATGAGACCTAATCGAAGGAAGTTTAGAAGTCAAACTTCCGACAATATGGACAGATGAAAAGCAGAGCAGGCAGAGGCAGAGAGAAGAGAAAGATTAGAAGAGAGAAGATCAGAGAAGAGAAAGAGTCAGAAGAAAGCAGATGCAGATGCGCGAAAAGGTAGGAAAGTCGCAACG